AGCAAATAAACAACAACAGATAAACAAAACAACAAGTCAAACACAAAACAACAACAGATAAACAAAACAACAAGTCAAACACAAAACAACAACAGATAAACAAAACAACAAGTCAAACACAAAACAGCAACAGATAAACAACACAAACAACAAGTCAAACACAAAACAACAACAGATAAACAAAACAACAAGTCTAACACCAAACAACAACAGATAAACAAAACAACAAGCCAAACACAAAACAACAACAGATAAACAAAACAACAAGTCAAACACAAAACAAGGAACAGAGAGAAAAATAAAAACAAAGATCAATAAGTGACTTTCTCTCATCCAATCAGGATGTCCCATTCTGATTTGAGACAGGTGAGATGTTACCTGAATATCTTTGGTTTTGAAGCCCCGCCCCCTTCTTGTCAGGCTGTTAATAGCTGCCTGACGCCCCTGAACGCCTCGTGAGCAGAGTGAGGTTTGTCCTGCAGTAACCTCAGCCTGCAGACGCTCTTCATCAAACTTTAACACCTCTGTGATGAAGAGCGAACCGTTGAACTTCTCTTGGATGTTTGCAGACTGTCCTCGTCACTCAGGCTGTTGGTGTCAACGCTCTGTGTTGGACACTCTGAGACTTGTGGAGAAATGCAGGACATCAGTCTGTGTCCAACTCAGGGAGGTCAACCTGAAGTCTTCAGGTCCCAAAATATCTCTCTGACCTACATCTGCCCCCGTCTCCCCTTCAAACCTTCATCATATGTTTCTGTTTTGGGTTTGAACTCAGACCCCTTTACACCCCCTCAGACCCCCTCAGACCCCTTTACACACCCTCAGCCCCCCTCAGACCCCTTTACACACCCTCAGCCCCCCTCAGACACCCTCAGACCCCTTTACACACCCTCAGACCCCCTTACACACCCTCAGACCCCCTTACACACCCTCAGACCCCTTTACACACCCTCAGACCCCNTTACACACCCTCAGACCCCCTTACACACCCTCAGACCCCCTTACACACCCTCAGACCCCTTTACACACCCTGAGACCCCCTCAGACCCCCTCAGACTCCCTTACACACCCTCAGACACCCTCAGACACCCTCAGATACCCTCAGACCCCCTCAAACACCCTCAGAAAACCCTCAGACCCACTTACACACCCTCAGACCCCCTCAGATACCCTCAGACCCCCTTGCACACCCTCTGACCCCCTCAGACACCCTCAGACCCCCTTACACACCCTCAGACCCACTTACACACCCTCAGACCCCCTTGCACACCCTCTGACCCCATCAGACCCCCTTACACACCCTCAGACCCCCTTACACACCCTCAGACCCCTTTACACACCCTCAGACCCCCTTATACACCCTCAGACCCCTTTACACACCCTCAGACCCCCTTGCACACCCTCTGACCCCATCAGACCCCCTTACACACCCTCAGACCCCCTTACACACCCTCAGACCCCCTTGCACACCCTCTGACCCCATCAGACCCCCTTACACACCCTCAGACCCACTTACACACCCTCAGACCCCCTTGCACACCCTCTGACCCCATCAGACCCCCTTACACACCCTCAGACCCACTTACACACCCTCAGACCCCCTTGCACACCCTCTGACCCCATCAGACCCCCTTACACACC